GGCAGACTCTTATGCCATTGACCCATCTCCCCAGCCCTGTACATTTCTTTTTCTTTTTGGCGGAACCGGGGATTGAACTCAGGCCCTTGCGCTTGCCAGGGAAGCGCTTATTCCACTGAGCCATCTCCCCAGCCCCTATGTTTCTAAGAAACTAGCTTTGTTGTCTATATTCATGGGAATATAGAATATCTTTTTTTTAATATCTTTTTTTAAATCCTAGGGATTGGTGAGCAACAAATACTGGGCGGGGAGATGGCTCAGTGGAATAAGCGCTTCCCTGACAAGCTCAAGCTTCTGAGTTCAGTACCTGGTTCTGCCAAAAAAAAAAAAAAAAGAAAAGAAAAAAAGAAATACTGCAGGGATTGGAGTTGAACCCAGGAATGCTTTATCACTAATGTGCATCTTCAGCCCTTTTTATCTCTTGATACAGTCTTGCTAACTGCCTAGGATGGCCTTGAATGTGTAGTCTGCTTGCCTCTGCTTGAGTGGCTGGGATTATAGGCATGTGCTGCCATGCCTGGCTACGGAATACTGTTTGATGATAGACTGTTTCAGCTTGCGTCCTCTACCATAACAGTGTTTGTGGCTTTATTATTATGACTACCTTATTGTATTGTAATCAGTTTCACCTGGACTAGAAAAGTCAATTCTTCCATGCTGCTTTAAGAAAAAGAATACTCTTTTTTTAAAAAAATATATTCTTCCCTCCATCCTCTGGGTTGAACCATTGATGGTAACATGCATGACTGTCCCGGTGGGTGACGCATCATCCCTGGTATATGCATGACTGCCTCATTGGGTAGCTTGGGACAGTTGTGCTTGTAGAGCGTCTTGAAACAGACCTGGGTATTGAATACAAGAGGGCTGAGCTATCTCTGGCCAGCTTGATTTGTTTTGTGGTCTTGCTAAGTTGCTCAGGCTGGCCTGAAACTTGTGATCCTCCTTGCAGCCTCCTCAGTAGCTGGAATTGCAGGTGTTTGCCATAGTGCCCAGTGCAAACAGGAATTTTTTTTTTTTTTTTTTTTTTACAAACAGGAATTTTGATCAGTCACTTTATGTTTAAGAAATAGTGTGCTATAAGGAAGGAGCAGACTGGGAGTGGTCCTGGCTGAGGCTTTGCCCTCTGACCCTTTGCACTGTGTCCAAGCATATCTGAGCCCTTGTGCTGCGAGGGCATGGGGTGGTTCATGTTGTGGGATTGCTGCCCAGGTGAGGTGCTCATGAGGTGGCCTTTTCTGCAAGGTCGCTGTTTCCTGTAAAGAAGTGGTAAGATGCTGGGGAAGTGTGAGCAATGCTGCTGTATGGTTTTTGCATCATCTTCTCTCCCTGTAGGCCGAGTGTGAAGGTGGCTTTCCTCAAGTGGTTGGTTCACTGTTCCTTTCTCCCGGCGGGCCAAAGTTCATTCATCTGATGTATCATTTTGCAAGATTTGTTGCCGTAAAGTATATTAAAGCCAATTGCAAAAGTAAGTAAAGTTTATAGTAGAACTTAGGTTGACCCTTAAATTGTTACTGTGCTTTTTTTTTTTTTGTGTGTGTGTTACAGGGGATTGTCTTATGTGGATTGTCGTACAGGGGATTGTACGTAAGACAATCCCCTGTAACACTTTGCACTTGTCAAGCAGGTGTTTAAGCTCCTTATTGTTCTTTGTAGTTTTAAAATTAAAGAGGGGCTGGGGAGATGGCTCAGTGGAATAAGCGTTTGCCTGGCAAACACAAGGGCCTGAGTTCAATCCCCGGTTTCGCAAAAAAAAAAAAGAAAAAAAAAAATTAAAGAGATTTTAATGAAGCTACATATATTAAAACATTAATTTATCTCAAAAATCAAACAATATTTTATTAAGACAAAAACTAATTTATTAGAACTATAAGTTGAAATCTTCTAATAACCACTTACTGTTCTCTCTCTCTTTTTTTTTTTTTGGCGGAAACGGGGATTGAACTCAGACCCTTGGCTTGTCAGGGAAGTGCTTATTCTAGTGAGCCATCTCATTATGTTCTAGTACAGGGATAGGAAATGCTTTCCATAGAAAGCCATAGAAGGTAATAAAATATTTTAGATCTCTGTTGCATATTTTTTATTTTCTTTTGGAACTTCTTTTACAGAAATGGGGATTGAACTCAGACCCTTGTGCTTGCCAAGGAAGCACTTTTCCACTGAGCCATCTCCCTGGCCCTTTCTTTTGTTTTTACAATGTTTTGAAAATGTAGAAGCCATTCCCACCTTGCTGAACTCAGAAATTCTGGCGTTAGCTTGCTCAGGAGTGCTGATTATATTTGACCTCTAATGCAGTGTGTTAAATGTTACGTCCAATTGTTGGTGATTTGTTTGAGTTATTGGCAATGTGTTGGAAATGTCTGTTTTCCAGGTTTATTACTTATTATTTAATTTATTGATTTATTAACAGTTCAAAGAAACAAAGTAGTTGGAGTTTTGTTTTTTTTTTCCAACTTTGACAAGTTTATTACAGTAAAAGGCAAGTTGACATAAATCCCGTTCAAAATCCTCTCCATTGCTTCAAACACACATATCCAGTCTTTCCTTTTGCTCCGATTTTTATTTTTTATTGCTACATATTGTAGCACAGGATGACCTCAGCCCTTGGATGGCGCTGGCCCATGAACACAGCACATCTTAGTTCTTCTTCCTTCTTCTCATCTTCCTCCCTGTTCCTTTGTCTCTTAGTTCCCTTTCTGTGTGCAGTAGTTGGAGTTTTACAGGTAATACCGCTATCTCCCTGAGCCCTGCGCATTAAGTTTAGATGTGCAGAAAGTCGCAAGATAGCGTAGAGGTCCCGCACGTCCATCTACTTGGCTCCCCTAGCACTAACTTAGCCTTGTGTAACTGTGGACTCTGTGAACATGGTGAAATTGGCATAGTGTACCTTTAAGTCCGCTTGGGTCCTCCGTCGTGGAGGAGGAGGGTTTCGTGGTGTGGGGCCGCCTGCCCTTGGACTTACCTGTAGCCCCGAGTGGCCGTGAGGTCGGGGAGCTGTGCTTCTGTCCTGAGTGCTGCGAGATGCGAGGTCACGGATGTGCCCTGCTGGGCCCGATTTGATTGTCCAGTTCGTGGCTTTTTCCGTTTCAGGTTGTGTATTCTATTTAGTCCACTTTTTTCAGAAAACATGGTAAAGCTTTTTCTGGATATAGTTTTAATTTGTATTTCTTTGTGTTTAAGAACATTTTGTACTGTTCAATACTACCTGCCTGTGTCCTTTTTCCATTTCTCTAAATTTTTTTAAAATTTATGTATTTGGTATAGAGTCTCACTACACAGCTTGGACTGATAGAGATCTTCCTGTTTCAGCCTCCCCAGCGCTGGGATTACTCTATAGGCAGGTGCCACCACGCCTGGACTTGCTGGGTGGCTCAGTGCCCCGGGGGCAGGGCTGGCCTGGCATGTGGTGCCAGGAATGGAGCCCTGGTCCCTGCACTTGCCTGAGCAGGCGTTTAGTCCTCTAAGCTATCTCATCAGCCTTAGGATTTTGTTTTTAAACTTAAGGAAGAAGTTATATTTTGCCACTTTTTAAATTTTTTGCCACTTTTTTCTAATAATGATATACAAACATTGCTTCTCAGGCTATCTTCTATGCCTGATTTTTGAAAACATGTGACTCTTTATAAACATTTGTGTATTTTAAATGTAACATAAGCATTTTGGTATTTTATTTTATTTATTTTTTACATTTTGGTATTTTAAAAAATTAATAGATGATCTGCTGCAGTTACATGCGTCCAGAACTATTTTATGTTAATTATTATATGTTTAGATTTAACAGAGGTTTATTGTAACCTCAGCATGGATTTTTTTTTTTTTTTTTTTTTTTTGTATGTTTTATATTTTAGGACAGTGTCTACAGGGTCTCACCGTGTAGATCAGACTTGTAGTGATCCTCCTGTTTACAGCCTCCCAAGTGTTGGGATTACAGGAGCATGCCACCACGCCCGGTCTCAATCATGTGGTCTCAGCGTGTGCTCTAGAGGCGGGGGTGTGGCCGGAGCCTGCATCCCAGCCCCTGTGTCTGCCTAAGCAGGTACTTTAATCCACTGAGCCATTTGGCTGGCCCTTTCTTTTTCTTTCTTTCTTTTTTTTTGAGACAGGACATCACTTTGTACTTTGTGGTTCACAGCCTTGAACTAGCTGTGTAGGCCAGGCTGGCTTTGTCAGCCTTCCAAGCGCTGGGATGTTGGGCGTGCTTCACCATGCCTGGCCCTATTCCTTTTTTTTTTTGGCAGAACCAGGGATTGAACTCAGGCCCTTGCACTTGCCAGGCAAGTGCTTATTCCACTGAGCCATCTCTTTCCAGTCAGCGTGTTCAGTCTCTAGAGAACTGCTAAGTGAACTTGTTTCCTGTTAAATAGTTAGAAATTGTGGTGGCTTCTTTGTGACATGCTAAGATGTGGATAAATAATGTGAAGTGCATGTGGAGTTCTTGCTTTCTAGAATATCCATACTTTTATTATAGTGAGCAGTGTTAAACATTTACTACAGATACAACTCTATGGCCTTTGAAACATCTGTACGGGTCATTCTCATGGTCCAGTTTGGTCCCTAGTAACATAGGCAGGAATTAACTAAGAAATGGAGAATGGTCTTACTTGGTTGTGTTATCCTGTTGGACTTAATAGGAGGGACAGTTAAGCTGACTGTATAATGAAGGTGGTCTTTACACTGTTCAGGATGGCCTTGAACTCACCTCCAAGGCCACCTCCGAGAGCTGGGATTGTAGGCGTGTGCCACCACGCCTGACTACATTGAAAGTGAATTGATTTCACTGTTTGTTTGTTTGTTTGTTTATTTATTTATTTGGTTGTTGCAGGGTCTCTCTACCCAGCTCGGACTGGGTAGTGATCCTCCTGTATCATCCTCCCCAGCGCTGAGATTACTGGGGTGCATCACCATGCCCAGTTTTGGTGGCTGGCTTGGTCCTCTGGGGCAGAGCCTGCATGGCATGTGGTACTAGGGATTGAACCTGGGTCCTTGTGCTTATCTAGGCAGGCACTTAGACCGCTGAGCTCTCTCCCCAGCCCTTTATTATTATTTTTAACTTTTTAAAAAAATGTATTTTAGTACAGGGTCTGCAGGGTTTTTACAGGGTCTCACTACGCAGGACTTGTAGTGATCCTCCTGCTTTCAGCTTCCCCAGTGCTGGGATTACAGGTGTGCTCTACCACGCCCGGACTTGGTGGCCTTCTCAGCGCACCTGGGATCAAATCCTGGTCCCTGCACTTGCCTAAGTAGGTTCTTAGTCTGCGGAGCTATCTTGCTGGCCCAAGACAGCCTTTTTTCTCACTTGTTTATTTGTTTTTTTAATTTTAATTAATTTTTAATTTTTTAATTTTATTGAGAAACAAATAGCAATGAGATAGTTTCAAAACCAATTAGTAGGACAGTTTCAATAAATACATTGCGTATTGTTGCCTTCATAGTGGTTATTCATAGTACAAGATGGGTATTCCATTGCCATTTAAATATTGTAGGTGCATGAATTCAGCAAAATAATCCAATATAGTTTGACTTGCTTAGATTGCTCACAAACTTGGAATCTTTCTGTCTCCGCCTTTCAAGTAGTTGGGAGTACAGACATGTGCCACTGCCTGTGGGAAACCTGTGATTGGTATCCATTTTGTAATAGTGTCAGCCATACTCTTAAGTTTTTATTCTTGTGCTGAGTTAAGCTTCTATTCCCTCTTACCCTGCCTGTTTGCTGTGAGTCTCCTGCTGTGCCACGGGGGTGGAACCTTCCTCTGTTGCCTGGATACCTGCTGACTTCAAGAGCGGAGACTTCTTCATTCCTATACCCTTTATATAGCCAGCACCTTCCCTGAATGAACGAGACTTGATCAGAACTTGTTTTGTCTCCATTTCTTGTGTCTCCTGTCCCTTCTCATCCCCACTCCCCCTCTAGGGTCTTCGTTGATTAACCCGAGGGTCGGGACAACTGCCCCCAGCTGAAAGTTTTAATTATGCGAAACTACTCATCATGAGATAATGTATGTGGTGTACTACCGTTTAAGGAGTTGCCTGTTATATAAAGTTCAGTCTTCTCTTGAAGGTGGGACTCCGTCCCCCACACTGGTTTTGAAATCCGGATGAAGCAGTTCTCCTTCCTCAGCCTCTGAGTGCTAGACCCGGAGGGTGTCGCTGTACCTGGTTAAGAGTAAACGTTTGATACTTACAAACCACTTTCCTGTAATCTTGTCTTCCATGCAGATTCTTCTCTGCAATTTACAGAAATGTTTAACGTAAAGACACAAGATATGCACAAGTCCCTTGCCAGATGTCATATAGCACGTAACAGGTTTTTGCAGGTTTTACAAAGGAAAGATTATGTAATCCAAAAATATGAGGAAAATGCACAGTAAGTAATATTTTGGCAGTTATAAAATAATTCTTTCCTTTTTGAACAAATGTTATCTGTGTACCTTTGGTGAAAATGTTCCATGCTTGCTTCAAGACAATGGCTATCAGTTTTGCTTATTTTATATTTTATTTTTTTTGGCAGAACCAGGGGTTGAACTCAGGCTCTTGCGCTTGCCAGGAAGCGATTATTCCACTGAGCCATCTCCCTGGCCCCTTGTTTTGTTTTTATTTTATTTTGTGTTTTATTTTTTGAGACAGTTTCAGTATGTAGCACCAGTCTGGCCTTGAACTCGGACCCTCCTGCCTTGGCCTCCTGAGTGCTGCGATTGCGGCGTGCACCACCATGCCTGGCTTACCGGGCACTTTCTGGAGGCCTTTTTTTTTTTTTTTTGCCAGCATTGGTGCTGTGGCATTAAACCCGACAGGCCAGGTTCATATTCTTGAGAAGTAGGCTATGTCTGACTTTCAGTAACAGTAAGATAGCTTTTGTAGTAATCTGTTATCTGTTATGGAATGCACAGAATCCTTTGAAATTACCTTAAGATTGAACTATTGCTGGTATGGCGGTTCCTGCCTATAATCCCCACACTCAGAGGCTAAGGTCGGAAGATTGTGAACTCAGGGCCGAGCTGGACTACATGGTGAGACCTATTTCACAAACAAAACCCCCCAATAACAAACAACAGAACTGAAAATTTCATTTATTTTTCATTTAGCTCTGCGGATTAAACCCATGACCTTTGCACTAATCTACATCCCCAGTCCTTTATAATTTTATGAAACTTTTATTCTTTTAAAAAATTTTTTTGCAGTACTGAGGATTGAACTCGGGGCCTTGCACATACCAGTCAGGCGCTTATGCCAGTGAACTTTCTCCCTGGCCCTGTAAATCTTTGAGCCAGTCTCCCTAGCTTGTTGAGTTGTCAGGCTGGACTTGGCCTTCCAGTTCTCTTGCCTTATCCTTCTGAATACTGGCGTTCCAGGCCTGCCTCGTGAGGCTGGCACATATGTGTGTGAGGGAAGAATGTCGCAGGGGCTGCGTTTCACCGTAATGGAATTGCAGCTGTTGTTTATGCATTTCCTTGCAGATTGTCACTTAAGCAAGTGCGGAATTTGAGATCAGAATATATGGGATTGCAAAGCCAAGTAAAAAAGTAAGTGCCTTTCCCAGTGGGATCCTTTAGGTGCAGGTCAGCTCTCGCAGGAGAGGACACAGCCCATAATTGAAGTACTAGATAAATAGCTAAATGACAGGACCAAGGCCTGTGGTTCTGAGCCCTCCTCGTCCAGTTCTCCTTCAGGAGAATTATTGTTGCTTTGTGCTTAAATCTTACTGTGTTTTTTAATTGGAATGGCTGTTGGTGTGTGGGTTTGCAGACCATTAGCTCTTTGTACATTAAATTACTGTTTCATCTTCTTTTGACTAATTAGATTATTTAATCTTTACTAGAATGGAACCCTCTGATGACCAGAGTCATATAAAAGAAAAAATTGAAAAGGTGAGATAATTTTGATGGGACAAATTAAATTTTTTTACTTTGTGATATGCAATGTTTTTTAATCAGTAGAAGTTCAAATTTTGTTACGCATTATTTGCTTTTTTAGGGGGTGGGTATTGGGACCCGAACTCGGGACCCTTCGCTTCCCAGGCAGGTGCTGCGCCCGGCCCTTTATTTTTCTTTTAAGTGATTGGGTCTTGCTGTGTTGGCTCAGGCTGGTCCTAAAGTGCGAGGCCAAAGACTCCTCCTGTGTCAGCCTCCCGAGTAGCTGGGCCGATAGCTGGGCTGCAGTTCTCTTGCCTTTTTAAGCATTCTTTAAACTTCGCTTGTGAGTGCTGTATGAAACGATAACAGTAGGTGTCTCTAAAGCCTTTGAATATAGTGGAATAAGTCAACTTACGATTTATATGTACTTTTTGAGACAGTGTCTTGCTATGTAGTTTATTTTTTGTATTTTAGGGAAAGGTCTGTAGACGGGTGTTCAGGGTGTCACTACTAGATTAGACTTGCAGTGAGCTGCCTGTTTACAGCCTCCCAAGAGCTGGGATTACAGGTGCGCGCCACCATGCCCAGTCTTAATTGCCATCTCAGTGCGCCCCGGGGGCAGGGCTGCCGGCCCGCCATGTAGTTTAGGTTGGCCTTGCTTGAGCTGAGTAGTTCGGGCTGGCCTAGCCTCCCAAATGCTGGAATTATAGATGTGTGCTACTATGTCTGGTCAGCTTTATGTATAGTTTCAAGTCCTTTATTCCAGCAAGAAAAGTTCTGCTTGATTGTAACTTAATCTGTGTGTTAATTTACCAAGATAAAACATATTAACTAAAGAGGATGGTAAGTATGGCAGGAAAGTGAAAGAAGTTGGATTGAGCTGAGTTGGCAGGAGGGAGGAATTGGGTAAAGGTAAATGAACTGAGGCATTTTGGAGGCTGGCTCTGATGTGAGAAGAAAAGGTGGTGTTAAACTTTCTTTTTGTTTACATGAGATACCTCTCAAGCTCTTGGTGATTCTTCGATTTCCAAACTGTTTTGGGTATTAATTTGGCTTCTGGGCCCTTTGTCACTGGAAAGGCAGAGTGCTGTCCTAAGGAATGTCCATCCCGTGGGTGTATACCGGTCACCTGCAGTGTGCCGGGATCTTCCTGACATTAGGGCCACCTCAGTGGGGCTTTCACTGTAGTCAGTGGGAGTGTTCTTATTAATGAACACAGTCAACTTCATAGGTTGACGTGAAACCAAGTGAGGTTTCTTCATCCTTGTCCCCTAAATGTGGTTCATGTTCACTTTCCGAATCTATTTTTTTTTTTTTAATTTATTTAATGTATTTATTTATTTGTGTGTGTGTGTGTGGCCAGCTCAGCCCACCAGGGGGCGGGGCTGGCTGGCATGTGGTGCTGGGGGATTGAACCGTGGTCCCTGTGCCTTGCTAAGCTTGTTCTAAGTAGGTGCTTTAGACCACTGAGCCATCTCACCAGCCTCCCAAATCTATTTTTCTTTGATCCATTGACAAGACAAACTTTAAGACTTGAAGAATTTGGGCTTCAGACCCTGTAATCCATCAGGGAAACGCCACCCTGTGAGTCCACCAGACTGACACCCGAGTCTTCTTGGAGAAAACTACCTTGCCATGCAACACTTTGTTCTTCCTCTTTTCACTTTTATTTTTGGTTTTCTGAGACAGGGTCTTGCCATATAGCCCAGGCTGGTCTGTGTGTGTGTTAGCCTCCCAATAGCTGGGGTTATGGGCTTGTGCCACCATGCCCTGCTGCTGAACATTTTTTCCCTGTGGTGGTGGGAATTAAACCTAGGGCCTTCACACTGAGCCATATCTCTAGCCTTTTTAACTTTTTTTTTTAGTTGTTGTTGATACAGGGTCTTGCCATGGAGCTGGGACTTACAGTGATCCTCCTGTCTCTACCTCCCTAGTGCTGAGATTACAGGTGTGTGCCATCGCCTGGTTTTGGTGGCCTGTGCCCCTGGGGTTCCGGGGCCTGCATGGTATGCGGTACCGGGGATCAAACTTGGGTCCCTGCACTTGCCAGGCAGGGGTTTAGACAGCCAAGTTACCTCCGTAGCTCCTCTAGCCCTTTTAAAGGGTTTATTGATTCTCTCCTTTCTCCTCCAGTACTGGGAATTTAGAGCCTTTGCATTGAGCAAGGCCAGTACACACACACACACACACACACACACACACACACACACACACAATTTTTTATTTTGAGATAGGGTCTCATTAAGTCACTAAGTACCCCGGTAGGACTTGAATTTGTGTTTCTCCTGCCTCAGCTTCCTGGAGAGCTGGTATTGTAGGGCTAGCCATGTAACATTGGAAGATGTAGGACACGTAGAAGTAATTATATTTCATGATCTCCCCACTTCTATAAATTGTTTTGAGATACAAAATACATATGAATATGTAAATCTTAAGTATATATAGTCTGACAGATGTTCAGAAAGTAAGCACATCCCCCAGCCAGTATCCAGTTCAGAAATAGAGCATGTCAGAGCCTCAGAACCCTTGACATCCTGCCTCATTCTCAGCTGCTTTCCCCAAAGGGTAAGCGCTGAGCTCACATACACTAAGCCTAGTTTTGCTTGCTTTTGAGCTTCCTATAAAGGGAAGCTAATAGTGTATGTGAGCTTCTCTGTGTGACTTCTGTGGCTCAGTAGTGTTGGTGTTATTTGTCCATGCAGGTGTGCAGTTGTAGTATGTTCATTCTCATTGCTGTGTAGTGCTCTTTTTTTTCTCTTTTTGTTTTGTTGGAACCGGGGATTGATCTCAGGCCCTTGTGCTTGCCAGGCAAGTGCTTATTCTACTGAGCTATCTCCCTGGCCCTGTAGTGTTCTTTTGTGTGAGTGTAATGAAGTGTACCCTTTCGGTGTGTTTGTGTGTGTGTGCGTCCTTTGTACTGGAATTAAATCCAAGGCCTTGCACTGAGTACACGCCCAGCCCTCTTTTTCTGTTTTGAGATAAAATCTCGCCAAGTGACTGCTTTGCCCAGGCGGTGGCTTGCCATCCTGCTGCTGTGTCCCAGTTCGTGGGGTTACAGGTGTGTGCTCCCATGCCTGGTCTTAAGTTTCCATTGATAAGTAGTGATTATATTTATGGGGTGCAGTATGAGTGGCTCTCTGCACACTGAATAGAATGATTCAGCCAGGGTAATTAACGTATCCATAGATCACGAATTTATTTTTGTGATGAGAATGTTAAGATCTATGTTAGCAGTTTTGAAATAGGCAATGTGTATGTTAATGATTGGCCAGTGTACAGCACAACAAATCATGGACAGATTTATTCCTCCAGTCTAACTGCAACTTTGCCCAGCTTTCTTCCGTGAATATTCCTCTTGTTTTGGAGAAAGAGTCTTGCTGTTCAGTTCAGGCTGGCCTTGAACTTGCTACACAGGCTGATCTCAAACTCATGGTGATCCTCCTGCCTCAGCCTCCCCAGTGTTGGGATAACACATGTATGCCACTGCACTGGGCGTTCTGTGAATATGCTTGTACATGGCTGGGGAGATAGTGGCATAAATGCCTGCCTGCCAAGCACAAAGTCCTGATTTGGATCCCTGGTGTACACACACACACACACATACACACACATACACACAATTTCTTATTCCTAAGTTTTAGTGAACATATACTACTTTATGCCTAAGGTTTTTTTTTTTTTTTTTTTTTGCGGAACTGGGGATTGAACTCAGGCCCTTGGGCTTGCCAGGCAAGCACTTATTCTACTGAGCCATCTCACTAAAACCTTGTGCTTAAGTTTTTGAGGGGTGGTATTAGGGATGAACCCAAGGCCTTTCCCCCCCCCCACAAATTAAAAGATACTGTTTATTAGGTCACAGTTATGTATGTTTGAAGGTTATACAGGCTGAACTTGGTTCTATGCTAGGATCTGACAAGGTAAAAAATTAAAGTGTTGGTTGTCCTAAATTACTTTGGAGGTTCTCTGAATGAATCTGCTTTCCACATCATTCAGGTTGTTGGTTCACTTTAGCTGTTTGAGTGTATAGTAACAAATTTCTGCTTCTGGCTTTTGTCAGTGGAGAATTTCTCAGTTCTGACAGGTTGCTGCTGCTGTATCCCTTTATATATCTCATTCATCCTTTCCATCTTCAAAGCCAAGAGTGATACATCAAGTATTTCTTATAGTTTAAATTTCTCTGACTTGCCCTCCATCCCAGCCAGAGAATGTTCTCTTTTTTTAAGAGTTCATGAAAGCAAATCATACTCACCCAGAAATTCTTCCTATGCTAAGTTCAATATTGCTCTGTGTATACCATCAAAATTCAGAGGGCTGGTGGGTTAGCTTAGTTGTCTAAAGTGCCTTGAGCAAAATCAGTCAGAGGAAAGGGGCTGTGGGTGATCCCCAGCACCACCTGCTGCACCAGGCCCGCCCTTAAATCAGCCTGAGCCAGCCAAGAAACCAAACCAAACCAAACCAAACCAAACCAAACCAAACCAAACCAAACCAAACAAACAAACCCACAAAAAAAAAGGAAAAGAAAAATCCTTCCCAAATTTTGGGCCAGCCTGATAGCTCAGTGGACTAAAGCACCTGCTAAGGCAGAGTGCAGAGGCCGGGCTTTGAGCCCCGGCGTGCCGTGCTGGCCCTGCCTGCAAAACACTCTGAGCCCAAGGCCTTCTTACTGTGGTGTCTCCAGGCTTTCTTTTGAGGTAGGATCTTGCTAAATTCAGAAGTTGCCTAAGCTGGATTGAATTTGCAGTCCTCCTATCAGCCTCCCAGAGTGTTGGGATTACATGAGTCTTTGCTCTTAAAGATTCTTATTTGTTTATGCAATAACTGTTCTTATACCTGAATGATTTAAAATCATTTTGTGCTAGTTTTCTTTTTCTGGACAATTTTTAAAGTTAGTTCTTTCTGAAAAGTCCTCATTACATTGGGTGCATGTCAAAGTACAGAAAAGGCCCGGGTTGTATCTTTTTTTTAAAAAAAATATTTATTTATTTATTTTGTGTGTGGCCAGCTCAGCCCACCAGGGGGTGGGGCTGGCTGGCATGTGGTGCTGGGGATTGAACCTTGGTCCCTGTGCTTTGCTAAGCTTGTTCCAAGTAGGTGCTTTAGACCACTGAGCCATCTCACCAGTCCCACCCCAGTTGTATCTTGGTAATATAAAAAGAGTTCATAGGTTTGCATGAAAATTATAGGGGAGCTAAAGTCTCCTGACAAAAGTCTTAGTTTTAAATGTTAGTGTTTTTAAGCTATAATTATTTAATTTTATCATCCCTAAAATATTTAATTTGTTCCTAGAATTAAGAAAATGTTCATGATTATATTTCTTTAATATAGTTACAGATTATGCATGGACTTTTATTTATTTATTTTTTTCTCCAAAGGTTCGATCTCTGTGGACCCAAGTAAATGAAACACTCACAGTTTTGGAAGAAGAAAGAGAAGTTATTAATTCAATCCTTAATGTTGTGAACCAGTATGATTTAGATGGGAGTAATGTTTCTATTAATATTCCAAGTCTCTTACTTGACAAAATTGAGAAACAGATATGTCAGGTAAGTATTTGATGCTAAAGAGACTTGTGAAAGCTGTAATTAT